TGTCCTGATGTAACAGCAGGAGCCAGGAAAATGGAAAGAAACCATGGAAGCAAAGGGAGAGAAAGAGCCTGATAGCAAGGGATAATAGGAAACAGATGTTACCAAGGGGAAAATATTCAATTGGGAGGGGAGGAGGGAAGGACATACAGGGAACCAAAAGGGTAAAGGGGAGAAAAGAACTCAAGAAAGCAGAGATAATAGCTATTATCAAGGGGAAAATGAGGGTACTTTAACTAGGGAAGGAAAAAGTTAGATAGGAAGAGAGAAAAGATAAACAAAATGTTATAGGAGAGAGTTCGTAAAAAAAATCACCAACACCACTTTAAGAGAAGTAGCAAGGTAAATTTTATTTTTTGACCGGCCAGGCTGTCTGTTTCAGGAGTAGAAGCAGCCCTGATGATTGACTGGTCAGAGTTTTTATAGGATTACAGAAATATTATTCAAACAGGACACTTGTGAACCAATCATGTTCATACAACATAGCAGAATTTTGACTGTATTAATCAACAACCAATCATTATACAGACAATTGACACAGTCATATAACTTGGCAATCAACTTTGTAATTTTAAAATTAGTCAACTCGCTAGCCATAACAAATATAGTAAGAAAGCTGGAATCAGCAGTTACCGGGTAGTCATACAATAATGCGATAACAAGGGTGGTCTTATGCTCTGTGTCAAGGTGACCCAAAATAGCAAGCGGATTACAGAAGCAAAAACAAGCAGCCAGATGTAAAATGTCTGGAATTAGCACATTCCATGGTTCATGGCTAAGACAATTTTCCAAGACCCAAGGCTGCCCCCCTTTTCCTTTTGGTATGGAGCAAAGTTGCTGCTAAAATGGCTCTGAACAAAATGGAGTAACTTAGGTAAGTTTCCTGAGCCAGTTCATAAAACAAGTTTTGTGAAGAGCCAGAGGGAAATGTATTAACTCAACCCCCTACTCGAAAAATACACATACAATATCTGAAAGTGAGTGTATGTGTATGCCTGAAGACTACTTAACAAAAAACACTGTACCAGACAGAAGAAACCTCCCTTCAAGTTGTTGGTCAAGGCAGTCCAAGAGACTCCCAAAATAGTACAGGCTGTTTGCCACAGTCCTTGATTACCTCCCAGAACTTGAAGTAAGAACCTATTGCTGAAGACAGAACATAATTTGGACACAAGACTTGGAGCAATGGAACTGGATTTGACCTGGAAGCCTCTTCCTGAAAATGCTCTCAATTCTAGAAGGTACTACGAAAGCTGCTAAGGAAGAAAATCCATCGATGGTCCAACTCAGCTGTAAAGCCTAATAACCACAATCTATTGTTAGCCTAGCAAACTACCTTTTTATTTCTTCTTTTTCAGTCTTTTTGAGACAGGGTCTCCATGTAGCCCCAGCTGGCCTGGAACTCACTATGTAGACCAGGCTGGCCTTGAACTCACAGAGATCTGCCTGCCTCTGCCTCCTAAAGCTGGGATTGAAGGTGTGTGCCACCACTCCCAGCTGCAAACTATCTTTATTGGTGCAGTAGTGGCACTTTTATCTAGGGGATAATCTTAACAGCTATCTAACTGGATTTAAAGCCCCTCAATGGGAGGGAACTCATGTGTGGTATTGTAAACATGGCTGGGAAGGCCATAGATCCTAGAGAAAATCATATGTCATATTTCTAGACAAATGAAATTTCTTAGTGTATGCTAAATATAGATCTTTATAGACAAGTATATCATACACCACTCATTAAAAAACTTCTTTTTGCAACAAATGGAGACCATTACACAGTTCTACAACTGGTCACACTCAGAGAATGTCTGAGAGATGCCCAGCCTCAAGTAACATTATCTACAGTGGAACCTCTGTACCTAAGGCTCATGGAACATAATGGAAAAGAGGCTAGAGGGAATACTAATACATACCTCAACTCTCATCAGAGAAATTTCCTCATACGACAGAGTGTGATACACACAGAAGACCATAAATGGCCAAGTTTTAGAGAATAAGAGGTTGCAGAGTGTGTGTTCCTGGATAGGACTCCTATATTAAACCTTACCCACCCATGGGAGCCCCATTCCTCCTTTCTCATGAAGCTCCACCCCTTCTTGAGGAATTACTGGCAGTTAATGGTTGCTGGAAGGATGGACATGTTCCTTAGTGGTGTGGCCACTGGAAGGTTGCCCATACTCCAGTAAATATCTTCCCTTCCCATGCTCATGCAAGAAACCCTAATTAAACTCAGTGAGTCACCAAAATAAAATAAAAATACCATGAAAGTAGAACAGAGACTAGTTGGGAAAAGGGAGTTCAATAGGAAGGTAGAACAAGAGAAGGTAATGTGTAGAAAATACAAAAAAAATTAATTTATGAAATTGTAAAAAAATTAATTTAAAAATCCAAACTAAAACAAAACAAAAGTGATTAGATTTTAATTCAAATAAACTTAATTCAACCTACATTTCTTGAATCCACTCAAAGTTGATTTACCACAGAGCTGAGGAGGCCTAAACTTTCGGCCCCTGACTCACACAGTCCCTTTGAGAAATAGGAACTGCTGCACGTTTGGTGTTCTGGATGGGAAACAGAAACCAGGATGCAAACAGAAAGAAATTTTATGTATGATTTCTGGTAAATTGCCTAAAAGAGTTCACAGAAGAAAGGAACCTGGATTTTATGGCTCTAGTAATCTATTTTTTTTTTGCAATCGCATATCAACCTGATTTTATATCCACATTATATTGAAGCACCTGCCTCAGTTATGTAAGAGTTAGATTTAAATATCAGTATTTTTTTGCACCTATTGTGTGTTATGTCTTGAAGTAATATAGACACAAAGATGAAGAAACTGTTTTGTGGAAGAAGTGTACAGACATAGGCATAAAGCAGAGTAAGTGTTAGGGTAATGATAGAAATAAAATGTTACAGGAATGCATAGAGAAGACCAGACATGATAGTCCACACCTGTAGCTCAGTATTTGGAAGGTGGAGGCAGGAGGATCAGAAGAGTTCCTGGTCAGCCTGGGATATAAGAGACTCTGTCTTAAAAAATAATTAAATTTAAAATGTAATAGGAACCACAAAAAATAAACATTAACAACACGAGTTTGTTACAGAATCCTTATGCATAGTCAGGAGTCTATTAAGTAGTGTCTTTAAGGCTTAAGGCTTTTTTTTTTTTTTTGTACGATCCACAATGAAACAGACTATAGCGTTCACAAATATTGCATGTTCACCAATATTTCTCAGCCACTCTGGCAATTAAGTTGGACTTAGTGTATATATTCTGATCAACAGGTCATGAGAAGTCATTTTTTTGTTTTGTTTTTGCTTTGGTCTTTTTTTTTTTTTTTTTTTTTGTCTTTTTGAGACAGGATCTCCCTATAGCCCCAGCTGGCCTAGAACTCACTATGTAGACCAGGCTGGTCTTGAACTTGCAGAGATCTGCCTGCCTCTGCCTCTGGAGTGCTAGGACTAAAGGCTGTGTGCCACCATGCTCAGCTTTATTTGTTTTTTCTAGTCGAAGATTCCTAATACTAGTTAAGAACTAGTCTGTGTCCACTATACTCTCTCCAGAAAGATATTGAGCTTGGAAGCAAAACCAGTGAGATGAATAGTTGGGAAATAGCAGACTAATTCTCTGAATACCTAGAGGACAACGTAATAGAGAACAAACCAATTTTAGGGGACTATGTGGGAGTAACAAGTGATACATAAAGTATTTTTATTCTAAGCTAGGATTAAGAGTGGGGAGATGAAATCCTAATTTAGCCTAGTCTAGCTCATCCAAATTCAGGAATAAATGAATTTCTTCACGTGTTGTGTGTGTACACAGTCAAATCAAATTTAAAAACATATTTTCTCCATCTGACATACCTATTTCCTATTCAATTTATGAAAACTTATGAAATTTATGAAAATAGTTATCACAGCCAACTGTGGTGGCACACCTTTAGTCCCAGCACTGGGGAGGCAGAGACAGGTGGATCTCTGTGAGTTCAAGGCCAGCCTGGTCTACATAGTGAGTTCCAGGACAGCTGGCGCTACAGGGAGACTTTGTCTCAAAAAAGATTAAAAAAAAAAAAAAAAAAGGTTATCAATCAGTTCCATGCCTTAGTTTTCACCCACAAAGGATAAATATTTATTTTCATCTGCCTCAGAATTTTTGATCTTCATAGTTTTCAGCTGTGTCCAATCATTTAGAGATTTTTAAAATTTAAATTAAAAATTTTTTAGACTGGTCTCATGTAGCCCAGGCTGGCCTCGAACTATACAGCTGATGTAGACTTTGAATTTCTGATACCCCTATCTCTAGACTTTCGCTGGGGATCCCACCTAAGGCTCTGGCATGCTAGCAAGCAGTCTACCAACTGACTACATCCCCAGCTCCTTTCTTTTTTAAGACAGGGTCTCAGAACAATGTACTGGCTGGCCCGGAACTCCTAACGCTCCTGCTTTAATCCCCCCGCGAGTGCTGATTTTAGATGCACAGTAACATGTCAGCCTGTCGTAAATATAAATGCTACAATGATATCAGAAACGTGGTATTATTTCACTTTGTGAAGTTGTACTTCTGCAGTATTTCAACTTAGGGCGTATATGTGCATACATGTGGCTATATGTATATTCATTTTTTCATGCTGTTAGATGTTCTGCAAACTGATGCTTCTGTGATGTTGAGACTGTTGCTTTTAAAAATCTGTGTTTTACCGCTCTAAATTTCATTAAGAATGCTTTAGGTTTAGTACAGGCAGGACAGAAGAGAGCTTAGTAAGGCCAATATTCATTTATTTCTCCTTTCGATCGCAGGGAAAAGAATAGTCACATGTTATGCCTTATGACAATGCCAGAACGCTATTTTTGAAGGCCTACTCGTGGGCGTAGCAAGATCCCCAACTGAACCCCTTCTTCCTCAAGTTGCCCACTCCAGCACTGAGCGAGAAAATCAGGCCCCGCCCTCTCTAGGGCTGAACCGGCACCATATATCGCGAGATCCTTCCCAGCGTCTGCGCGAGCCCTCGTGTTTGCTAGCTTCCTCTGCTACTTGGGGGAGCCGGAACTTTTGTCAGCAGGAACCTGTATACACCGTTCAGTGTTGTCGACCGACGTGCAGGCGAGGGAGTGTTGTTCTCTTCCTCTGGCCCGCGGCGGACCAGAGCCGAGCGAATCTGACCCTGGAACGCAGTTTTCTTGCGGACTGTGCCTATGGTCGCTCCGCCGGCCGCTATCCGCTGGTGGTTCTGTATCAGGGCAAGCAGTGTTCCATGGCAGGGAACTTCTGGCAGAGCTCCCACTAGTGAGTGAGCTTCCTAGTTCTCGCATGGGGCCGTTTCTAAGGTGCGGGGTGGACGGGCCTGCGACTCCCCCTGGGCTTCCATCAAAACCCCAGTTCGAGCGCGGACTGGGAGGCTCTGGAGCCACGATCGAAAAGCCTGTTTTCGGGCCTCCGCCTCCCCCCACCCAGTGCCCCCGCCCGTATAGGGCTTCGAGGTAGGGTCTGAGGGCCGGGAGGAATGGGGACGAGGGCCAGTCTGCTGGAAGGAAGACTGAGGCAGTTTCATTTCGGGTTCTTGGGTGAGGTGGGCACCTGCTGCGGATGCTAATCCAGCTTTGCTCTGTGAAATTGCTTGTTCCGGACAGGTGTGGTATATGCTAGTTTTTGTTCAGAGCAGCGACGTTGTAATCTCTTTGTCATTCGTCTTCTATGCTGATTACTTATTCCCAGGAGTTGAGAGTATTGTTTCTACCTGCCGCTTCCTGGCCCCGCTTTAAGCCTAGCGGTTAAGAATATAGGATACGTGCTCTCAAAAATATATCCATTTTCATTAGCCACTGTCTTATAGTTTGCTTTAAAAGTGTGTTTTTCAGATTTTGTCTCTTCCTTCAGCCATTTAAATGAATTATTTTTGTGTCTTGTCAGTGACCATGGAAGAGCTAAAGTAATATTTAAAAACATTTATCTCTAAATGAATCTGATAAGCAGGTGAGAAGGCGTGTAATGGGGCTAAATAAAGCATCAAGCAGGGTTTTCATTGAATAGGTGAAAAATGAACAGGAGCTTGTAAAGCTGTCTTAGTATAAGTAATATTTATTGCAAAGAGAATAGCTAGTTTACTTTTTTTTTTTTTCTGTGAATATGATTGGCTCTTTTTTCCCCTTTGCATGAAGGAAAAAATTCGTTTGGAAACCTGTTTTCTGGAAAGCATGTTTTCCTTTTGTTGCAAGTGATTCTGGGTAGCGCTGAAGAATGTTTCTGATGAATAATTCTGTTGACAGCTGGGTGTGGCAGCCCACCCTTTAATACCAGCATTCTGGATGCAGAGGCAGGCTGATCTCTGTGAGTTCCAGGCCAGCCTGGTCTACACAGTGAGTTCCAGGTCATCTGGGGCTACAGTGAGACCCTGTCTCAAAAAGACAAAAAAAAAAAAAAAAAGATTTATGTATTTGTTTGTCTATATGTGTGAGTATATACATGTGTACATGTCTATTTCTTTTTAATTTTTTTGTTTTATTTACTTTTATGTGTATGCTTGTATGTGTGTGCATTGCCTGTGGAGGCCAGAAAAGGAGCTTGGATCCCCTGGAACTGGACTTTTACACGGTTGTTAGTGGCCATGTGGGTGCTGGGAACCGAATCTGGGTCCTCTGGAAGAGCAGCAAGTGCTCTTAACCATTTAGTCATCTTTCTAACAACCCCATCAAATCTATTTCTTTGAAATTATTTCCAGTATATTCTTTTTGTTTTTTGGGGGGCTTTTGAGACCCAAACAAAAGTTGTAGCTCCAACTGGCCTGGAACTCACTATGTAGATCAGGCTGGCCTTGAACTCACAGAGATCTGCCTGCCTCTGCCTCCTGAGTGCTGGGATTAAAGACATGCACCACCTCGCCCGACTCAAATATATTGTTTTGCAAATATGCAAGAATGAATTATTTAATTTCTTATTTTTTGGTCTTTTTGAGACAGGGTTTTCATGTAGTCCCAGCTGGCTGCGAACTCACTACGTAGACCAGGCTGGCCTCTGCCTCCCGACTGCTGGGATTAACAGCGTGGGCCACCACAACCATCCTGAAGCATTATTTATAATAGTGAAAAACTAACCTATATGACTGGCAGTAGAGATTGAATAGTGATCCATTCTTAATGATGTGCAAATGTTTAATAAAAGTTTAAAAAGATGATGAAAAAGAAGGCCATTGTTTAAAAGGCTTGCTGTACAGGGCATGGGAGTTGGCTCAGCTGGTAAAATGCTTGCTGTGTAAGCTGGAGTACCTGAGTTCCATCCCTAGTACCCATTAAATAGCTAGCATGGTATTATGTGCCTGTAATCTTGGTGCTGGGGAAGTGGAGGTAGGTGCATTCCTGGAGCTCACTGACCAGCTAGTCTTCCCAAATTGGTGGGATCCAGGTTCACTGAGAGACCTGTTTAAAAAAAAATAAGGTGAAGAGCAATAAAGGAAGACACCCAGTATTGACCTCTGGTCTCCACATGCATACACACATGCACACATGAACGTGTACACAAATATACATGACACAAAATTTTGAAGACTGGGTTCAAGAGATGGCTCAGCACATAAAGGTGTTTACTACCAAGTCTAAATGACCTAAGTTTAGAACCTCCACAGAGTGCACTGTAGCACTAATGCACTTCTGCACACACAAAACAGATAAATGTAAAGCTAAAAAATTTTTTAAAGGCTTCTCAAACATTTCTACTAAAAATAGTTACCTTGACTATGTAGGAGGATGCTATGAATAATCAATTCTGAAGTAGCTTTTAACTTAATAGGAATTTATGAAGTAGGGAAATTAAACACCCTCCCTCATAAATTGAGAAAAGCTATATACTTCCTCACATCTAAAATACCATTCATTTGATGCCAGATTGATCATCATTTCATGTATCAGAGACAGAATAAACAGCATTTGCTAATTAAAATACTAAGATGTCACTAATGGTAAGTTGTGTCTTGATACCAGTATGTTTAAGTGAATTAAGTCCAGTATAAGCTAACAGATTAAGGCAGAGAGAGAAAAGATTAAAGTGGATTTTTTTTTACAGGGTATCCTAACTAGTTTTATTTGATAATTCTTGTTAATCCACATTTCAAGAAGTGTGAGAAATGCTGTCTTTGTTTTTCAGTGCTGAGGATGGAACTTAGGGTGTTAAACATATTAGGCAAGTACTCTACCTCTTAGCTACATCCCCCAGCCAAATTACTGTCTTCTAAGGTTGCTAGATATACTTTGTAGCTCTCAGAATATGAACAGCTTGTCTAATCTTAGTGTTTTGTGTGATTTTGTTTATTGATCAGCTATAGGATGTCTTAACATCTTTACTTTTTCTAGTTTGCAGTGGATTTTGGATAAACAAGATCTGTTGAAGGAGCGCCAAAAGGACTTAAAGTTTCTCTCAGAAGAAGAGTATTGGAAGTTACAAATATTTTTTACAAATGGTAAATTGGTTAAAGTAGTATAGTATAGCCAATCACCCTTGAGAATGTGTAGTAATTTTCAATGGATTGTTAAAGTCCATAGCTAACATTTTTATTTATACATTTATCTTTTCGGTGTTGTGGATAACTGTTCTGCAGTTCATGTGTCAGAGGCACCACAACAATTTGACGTGTTAATTTCTTTAAGCATTTGTAATGCAACCCAGTTTAAGGTGGACTTAAGAAAAATGCTTTGTGGATGAATGATTCTTTAAATGATACCCTATAGTTGCCATTTTTACCTTAGAAATCCCCTGGAAAGGGATTTAGTTAAAAGACATTTACTGTGTGTAGGATAACTTTACCACTTGATCCTTCTTAACTCTGTCACTTGCTCCAAACCTACTCTTTTTTTTGTTTTGTTTTGAGAATTATGGATTTTTTTTGGCAAAATGTGTAAAATAGCAATAAATGTCTTAATATTTTATTTTTATAGCTTTTATGTAGATAATATGAAGAGTAAAAATATTTAGAAATATTTAGCCTCCTCACTGCAAGAATAACTTTTTCATTGGATAGTTTCTTTTTTGTTTGTTTATACATATTGCTACAATTGCAAATATTAGTAGAGATCACTATGAGTTAACTAGTGTTGCAGCGTGTATAGCTTTTTTTTTTCTTTGTTAAAAATGAATAGTCATGCTGGGCCTGGTGGAACATGCCTTTAATCCTAGCATTTGGGAAAAAAAGTCATGCCAGGTGTGGTGGTGCTCATGCCTTTGATCCCAGCACTTGGGAGACAGAGGCAGGCAAGTCTCTGTGAGTTCAAGGCCAAGCCTGGCCTATATAGGGAGTTCCAGGCCAGCTGCAGCTACAGGGAAATCCTGTCTCAAAAGACCAAAAAACCAAAGAATGGTCATGATTTAAACATATAGAAATTATTGTTAAAGGTTCTTATTCTGATACCAGATGATACATTTAAAACATTATTTTCCTTTTAGTTATCCAAGCTTTAGGTGAACATCTTAAATTAAGACAACAAGTTATTGCTACTGCTACGGTCTACTTCAAGAGATTCTATGCCAGGTAGGACTGTTTTACTTGGGGACTATATTATGCCTATTTGAGATTCCTATCAAATTTGGACATGCCATAGTATAAGTGAATCACTTGTTTGACATAAAGCCATAGGGTTGTGATTTTTTTTTCCTAGTGTGTTTTCTAATTGGGTATTATTAACTCTCTAATCCTATTTAGGTATTCTTTGAAAAGTATAGATCCTGTATTAATGGCTCCCACATGTGTGTTTTTGGCATCCAAAGTAGAGGTAAAAAACAGTTTTCTGTTCTTCATCTAAATATAGTCAATATATATTAGTTAACCTCCTTGTTTTTACGTTGCCTTAGCAAGGATATAATAGATGGCAATTTTTACAAGATAAAACTATCTTGCATATATATTTAATAAATACTTATGTGGTACTTTGTATTGAGTCCCTTTAAAAATATATTATCATTATTGTTATTGTTATTGGTCTTTTTGAGACAGGGTCTCCCTGTAGCCCCGGCTGTCCTGGAACTCACTATGTAGATCAGGCTGGCCTTGATCTCACAGAGATTACTTCCCTTGTCTCCTGAGTACTGGGATTAAAGGCGTACACCACCACACCCTGTTATTCTTGTGTTCTTAATTGCTTTGCTTTGCTACCTTTAAGAGAGTGTTTGGCACTAAGTTGTGTTAAATGTCTACCATGATCTGAGAATGCCTCTACTCCTCACCCATACACTTCTTACTTATGCCTGTCTTTATTCTAACAAGCCATAGGGAAAGCCAAAGGGAAGGCAAAGAGTGGGAGAGGCTATAGCTATGTAAATTTGAACATGGAAATGTGTAGATAGTGAGTGAAAGATGAGAAAGGAAAGAGAATTTACAGTGGAGACTGAATTTCTGCTCAGCTTTTTTCAGTATTGTTGAGAAAGTTCATATTTCAACTAAAATCCGGATAATAGATTCTCTGAAAACTGGCTGTTTTTCTTAATTAATCCACATAATCTTCAGTGTGAACAAAACCTTCATATTATGTTTCTATGTATAGAATATTTCTATTTGTCTTTAGAATAATAATAGTATTCATGAATATTGAATGATTTTAACTTAATAAGTTTATATTCCTTTTGTGCTCATTTTAGTCAACTAGGACTATCCATAACTGCTTTCTAAATTATCACCTAAATAATGAGAATTGACAATATTAGAAATACTGCCGGGGCTGGAGAGATGGCTCAGCCATTAAGAGCACTGACTGAGGACCTGGGTTTGATTCCCAGCACCCACATGGTGGCTACGAACCATCCTTAACTCCAGTTCCAGGGGAATCCAAAGTCTTCTTCTGACTTCCGAGGCATTGCACAACACAGGTACACTCACATACATGCAGGCAGTACACTCCTACACATAAAATAAAAATAATAAATAAAATTTAAAAAAAGAAAAGAAATACTACCAAGAAAACTTATAGGAATTTTGTTACTTGATTAACTGAATAGAACTCTTTTTGTTTTTTATTTATTATTTTTATTTTATGTGTATGAGTATATTGCTTGCGTGTATGTAAGCGCACCTGTGTCAGTGCCTGTGGGAGTCAGAAGAAGGTGTTGATCCCCTGGAACTGGAGTTAGGACAGTTAGCTGCCATGTGAGTTCTGGGAATCGAATTTGGGTCCTCTGCAAGAGCAACCAGTGCTCTTAACTGCCGAGCCATCTCTCCAGGCCCCCGTGAATAGAACTTTTATTAATGGTTTATTTAGTGAAAGTTTGGATACTTAAGTATGGTTACTTAAGTCAGTTGTAGAGTATTCATAAGGTCATGGGTTCAATCCTTAGCACTGAAAACAAATTCTTTTTAGATAAAGAATTATTATATTATTATACTTGGTTGTTCTATTATTATTATTATTTTTAATCTCTATAACCAAATTTGTTCTGTATTTTGTTCAATTGAATGGAAATTGTATACAACTCATGTTCATCTACTCTCTCCAGGTGTTTTGTTTTTTTGTTTTGTTTTCTGTTTTTTTTGTCTTTTTTGAGACAGGGTCTCCCTGGAACTCACTATGTAGACCAGGCTGACCTGGAACTTACAAAGATCTGCCTGCTTCTGTCTCCCAAGTACTGGGATTAAAGGTGTGCTCCACCAAGCCTGGCTCTATCTCCAGTTTTTATGTTATATTTTCACTTAACTAAAGTTTGGAGTTGAAATGTAAATCATGTGTATACACAACTAACAAACAAACAAACAAATAAATAAATAATAAATAAAATTATGCATATACCAAATAAACAAATAATTTGATCTCATTTACTTTTCTTTCTCTAGGAATTTGGCGTAGTCTCAAATGCAAGATTGACCACTGCTGCTACTTCTGTATGTAAGTGCAAAAATTATATTCTGCTTTTTTTTGAGATTGTAATCTAAAGAAAACACCATACTACATAGATTACTGTTAGTATTATTATTATTACTACTATTTTTAGTTTATGAGCCACATGTAGGTGAGTTTATTACCTTTTATCACTTGCATATTCGACATAAAAAAGTTTTAAAAGATGATGTTTTTACTTGTGTAGTTGTGTAGGACTGTAATCTCAGCACTTAGAAGGGGTAAGGAGGTAAGAGAATCAGGAGTTCAAGGCTAGCTTCAGCTACAGAGTGACTTTGAGACTACATGAGACTCTGCACTACATGAGACTCTGTTGCAAAAGATATTTTTAACACTGATATTCAGTATATCTATGGCATTATTTTTTGTTTGTTTGATTTTTTGAGAATGAGTCTCCAATTAATCCAGGCTCATCTGGAAATTGGGGTCCTTTAGCTTCTACCTACTAAGGAGGATGAAATGATATTACAGGTATGGGCCACTATGTCCAATGAAATTCTTTTAGTTTGCTTTTGTATTTTTGAGTCGGGGTCTCCATGAAGCCCCAGTTGGCATGGAACTCACTTTGTAGGCCAGGCTGATCTCAGTCTCACAAAGATCTACCTGCCTCTGCCTTACAAGTGCTGGGATTAAAGGTGTGTGTCACTATACCCAGCTTGACATTACTTTTTATGTTAAAATTGAAAAGCATAGTATAGAAAAAATGCTGTGTGCTAAGTCAGTTGAGCTAACTTTTAGCCCCCTTTCTGTCTCTCAGTAGTTATGTTTTGCCCCTATCTAGTTATACAACCCTTTAAGCAAGTTGCTTAATTCCTGGGCCTTAGACCTTTTTCTTTTCCTTTTGAGACAGTTTCCCTAGGTCACCCTGGCCTCAAACTCAGGGCAGTCCTCTTGCTTTAGCTTTCTGAGTGCTAAGATCATATAAATGAGCTGCCATCTTTCCCTAGTCATATCTTAATTATTTTTTCTTCCCAGGTTCACGTGTGTGTGTATACATGCGTGTGGGTACCTCTGTGTGTATATGTGTGTGTCAGCCTATGGTTGATGTCTAGAATCATCCTCAATCACTATCCTACTTTATTCATTGAGGTAGGGTCTCTCAGACCCAGAGCTTGCCAGTCTTGCTGCTAGTCAGTTTGCTCTGGGGAATCCCCTATTTCCTGCTTTCCAGGGCTGGAATTGCAAGTGGTCTGCCACACCTACCCAGCATTTATGTAACTTCAGGGTTTCTGAACTCTGATCCTCAAATTTGCAGGACAAGCTCTTTAACCACTGAGCCATCTCCCTAGACCACATCTTAGTTTTTAAGGGTAGAAAGATACTAATGAGTATGCCATAAATTTAATATACCACACATTATGTTGCAACCTGTTTTCTTATCTACAAGATGAAGATTGTAATACTGAGCAAGATTCACAGAGGAATGCCACATAGTGATGGTTGAATTAGGAGTCCTTTATTAATAGAAGTCAGAGAGGGGGCTAATGCCTCAAAGAACTCTTAACCTGGAGGAGAAGCATGGCAGGGTTTATAAAGCTTAAAACCACAATTAACCATGCCAGAGGCAAAGCCAATAGCCATAGTTATTAGATCACCATAGTTACAAGAGACTAGAAGCAGATCAGTTAACAAAGAGGTTTTCAGTTAAATTTCAGTTAGGCTTTGTAAGAGGATGTGCTACCTAAGCCTACTCCCTGAAACTGCCTGTATGAGATGTTCTGCCAGACTGCAGTGGGAATGGTGGGGCAAAATCACAGGATAAAGCAAAAGTCAGCTAGAACAAAATGGAGTTAGTTTTGCCTCTTCAGAGATGCCTATGCTTGTAGGGTTATTATGAGGATCAGATGTGTTAATACATATAAAATGTAGAACAGTGCCTTGCCCTGTCTTTATTGGTACTATTGTAATATAATTGCAAATGGGGCATTTAAACGGCAGAAATTGACTCTTTCAAAGTTCTAGAGGAAAGATATTATTTCATCTTAGACTTCCAGGTAACAGTTCATTACTGAGGGAAGTCAGGGCAAGACTTCAAGGATGGATACTTGATGGCAGGAACTGAAGCAGAGACGATGGAGGAATGCTGCTTGCTAACTTGCTTCCCCTGGCTTTCTCAGCTATTTTTCACATATTACGTATTACATAATTTCATATTTTTTCATATGTAATTTCTAAAACATTGACTCCAGCTAGTGTTGCCTGTATGTACTTGGGTATAGGGCTGATCACTGATGTAGGCATGGGCAGCTTATTAGGGGGCTTGTCCCTGAAGAAAACTGTCTTTTCCTCAGCAGCCATCTACTGCCTGTAGCAGTAGAGGTTAGGACCTTGTGATCCTGTTCCCCATCCATGGTAGAGTATTGACTGGTAGAGTCTTGTGCAGGCAACTATTTTTAAACACAATGATTAAGAATTAAAGAATTAAAAATTAAGGATTAAGAATAAGAATTAAAAATTTTAAGAATTAAGAATTAAAAATATGGGCTGGGGATGTAACTCAGTGTTGCTAGAGAGCTTGTCTAGCATGCACAAACCCTAGATTCCATCACTAGCACAGTTTAAAAAAAGATGTAGGGACTGGAGAGATGGCTCAGGGGTTAAGAACACTGGTTGTTCTTGCAGAAGACCCGGGTTTGAATCCCAGCACCCACATAGCAGCTAACAACTGTCTGTAACTACAGTCCCAGGGGATCTGACAGCCTCTTCTGACCTGAGGGCATTGCATGACACGGGTGCACTTACCTGCATGCAGCAATACATGCATACACATAAAATAAAAATAATAAATAAAAATAAAAAATAAAGATGTAAGGCCACTTGGCTGACCTTGTAAAGACACTTGTTCCTAATGACCTGAGTTTGATCCTGGAACCCACAAGTTGTTCTTTGACCTTTACATGGATGTCATGTTGCCCATGCACACTTGTGCATACACATAATAAATAAATGTTAAAAATATTGTGGAGCTTGTTAGGTGTGGAGGAACACGCCTTTAATCCCAGCACTCAGTAGGCAGAGGTGGGCAGATCTCTGAGTTCAAGGCTACTTTTGTCTACATAGTGAGTTCCAGGCCAGCCAGGGCTACATAGTGACACACTGACTCAAAATAATAATGATAATAATAATAATAATAATAATAACAACGATGATAAAATAATGTGAAGTATTTTAGCATGAAGTGGGATAGAAGCTGACAGAATAAGCAAATCTAATCTTAATGGAGGTGTTATGTGTCAAAGTCTGGGAGTCATGATGTTGATTTGTATTTAGACATTATTTTACCATTTTGATTCTCTGTCATTTTTAGGAACCTGTTTTTGTTTGAATACTTTTCACCCTGCTGGCATATAAAGAAGTTGTGAAACTCAGAAACCTTAATGGGAACATAATGTCCAGCTTAAATAGTTCTAGGTTTTAAGTCGTGATAGTTGTTACCTAAATTAGCTGTAGAGTACTTAATTTGCAAAATACTCTTTGAAGGTAAAATACATAGAACACAGAATACCTTTTAATTTCTGTGTAGTCACTTGTACAGATAGGATTACAAACTGGATCTGCTGGAACTGTCAGTTACCACCGTAATTGGGTTAAATATTGTAACCTAATGACTTGAATACAATTTTTTCAAATCGTATTTAAGTTTTATGTATAACTCATGTCTTCTTGAGATAATTAACATGGTTTTTCTTTTTTTCTTTGTTATTTGTAAACAGTGATTTTTCATTTTTACTTTATTAGTGTGTAAAGATGGTAGCTATATTGTGTCAAATGTCCCTGAGACTTTGCATATATATTGATGTTTTTATTAAAATACATCTTTTGGTAAAGAAATGCTTACAAATTCAGAAAGTGAGAGAGGAGGCAAAGGCAGGCAAGTCTCTGTGAGTTCAAGGCCAACCTGGTATACATAGTGAGTTCTAGGCCAGCTGGGGCTACAGGGAGAGGCTGTTTCAAAAAGATCCAGAAAACAAACAAACAAACAAAAGAAATTCAAAAAGCATAAATTAGTTTTAAAAAATTCATCTCAGATCACCATTAACTTCTAACTTTTCTCTTTTTACAAGTCTCCCCTCCCCCCAACCCCCTTGTATTCATAAACACATTTAGAACTATGTTCTTTCTAAGTTAAATTACTGGTAAACAGAACAATACCATTCTAGAACTGGAAAGATTTTAAAGATGATAGAAGCCAGTGCTTTTTTTTCATCTTTCAATTTTTATTTATTTATTTATTTATTTATTTATTTATTATTTTATTGTTGGGGGACCCTGCTGCTAAGGTTGTAATCCTCCATGTCCAGATAGCTCTAAGGGGCTCAGCGCTATATGGAAGGACTCCCTTTTTCTGCCGGGGCCTCCTTCTCTCTGCCTGACTTACCTGGGAAGTGCCACCAAGCATGGATGCCTGACCTTATTTGGAACATGACCTTTGGCATAGTTACCTGTAATAAAACTACCCCCAGGGTTTTTCTGTATAATTAGGCATTGCCTATAGTCCCATATAGGATCCCGCTACCACATGTAAATAAAGCATACTATGAGTACCTATCAGCTGAAGCTTTGGCTGCTGCCTCCACACTATATTTTCCCTGAGCCCCACTGAATAAACGGAGCTGTATCACTGTCTGACTCCCCGGAAAGTCTTTTTCAGTTGTGCTCACTGGCTGTCCTGAACCCGTTCGTCACTTCTTCTCCCTTTGTCCTCGTGGATTGGTGGCCAACAACCCACAAGGGGAGGGAAAGACCCCACAATTTATTTATTTATTTATTTTTGTCATTTTGAGACAGGGTCTCCCTGTAGACCCAGCATCTGGAACTCGCTATGTAGACCACGCTGGCCTCGAACTCACAGAGATCTGCCTGCCTCTGCCTCCGCCTCCCAAGTGCTGGGATTAAAGGCGTGTGCCACCACGTTCAGCTTTGTCTTTCAGTTTTTTAAAGCAGCAGAAACCTCCTTTTTCTTCCCTTCCCTTTCTTTGTGTCATCTCTCTCCTTCCTCTTCCTCTCCCTGTCTTCTCTTCTCCTCACTCACTCCCCTCTCACCTTTCCTTTGCCAGCCTTTCTGCCTGTACCTCCCAGGTTGCTGGAATTGCAGGCACACTCCACCATTCCAGCTGGAACCCGTTCTTAATATAAAGTTAAAGTTCTCCAATTGTATAGACAGATGTTCTTCTGCCATCTAACTTTTCTCTGCCCTGGAAACAAAAATCTAGGTTCCTAAATATTGTCAGAGTTCCTACTGAAGTTCATACCCTCTAATATTTTATACTATGTTAAAGGAATTTTGGGCTTATTCACTTTGATGTTTTCTTAGTTTAAGTTTTGTTTTGTTTCCTACAGTAAAAACTAGATTTTCATATGCCTTTCCAAAGGAATTTCCTTACAGGATGAATCACGTAAGTATATTATATAAAATAAAGCATTGTCAAAATTCTTAACTAATTCTATTTTATAGCAGAATAAACTTCTAGTCTTTTAAATACATTATTTTAAAGTTCAGTAATTTCTCTCTTTATTTTTCTTGGCTTCCAGTTCATCTTGGGAACTTTTTAATAATATTGAAGTTGGGACTTCTTGAAATTAAATCAGATTTTTAGGCTTGGAGTCACTGACATTAGTACTTTCTGAACATTCTCAGGTTGTGGTTGAGAACTACTAACTATCAAAACTATTTGAAAACTTACCTGTTGAGTCTCTGTTGATATTTTAATAGATGTGTCTATTTCTACCTTGCAAGTTGTAATTTTTATTAAGTACAAATTATTGCATCTTTTTGGTCTTTTTGAGACAAGGTCTCCCTATAGCCCCAGCTGGCCTGGAACTCACTGTGTAGACTAGGCTGGCTTTAAATTGAGAGATCTGCCTGCCTCTGCCTCCCAAATGCTGGTGTGTGCCATCAGGCCCAGCAAATAATTGCATTTTTCTTTTTTTTAAAAAAATTTTTAATTTTTAACATTTATTTTATGTGGGAGTGTACTGCCTGCATGTAGGCAAGTGCACCCGTGTCATGCAGTGCCCGCGGAGGACAGAAGAGGTTGTCAGGTCCCCTGGAACTAGAGTTACAGACGGCTGTTAGCTGCCATGTGGGTGCTGGGATTCAAACCTCGGTCTTCTGCAAGAACAACCAGTGTTCTTAACCACTGAGCCGTCTCTCCAGCCCCTCCATTTTTCAAATAGAAAGAAAGTACATTGAAAAAAATCTGAAGTAAAGAATGAATACTGAGCCAGCCGTGGTGGTGCTTGTCTTCGGTCTCAGCACTGGGAGGCAGAGGCTGAAGCAAATCTCTGTGAGCAGGACAGCCTGCTCTACTTAGTGAGTTCTAGGCCAGCTGGGGCTACAGGGAGACCCTGTCTCAAAAAAGACCACCCCCCAAAAAAGAATATTGGGGGTATATCTCAGTAGAAGAGCAACTGCTTGGCATATTTTAGACTGGGTTCAGTTCTAATATCCCTGGTACAGGCCTTTCCTTATAAGAATTTAAAAGCATATTTTATAATAGAAGTAATTTTAATCCCAGCAGCTGGGAGGTAGAGACAGGCAGCACTCTGTGAGTTCAAGGCCAGCCTGGTCTGCATAGCAAATTCTTAGCCATGCCTGGAACCAAAAAAGAAGACTGCGATAAATTATATCTGTAGGTTGTTATTTAAAAATAAGATTCATGTCATTATACTTGTTGACAGTGGATAATTTTTTTTAAACAGATATTAGAATGTGAATTCTACCTTTTAGAACTAATGGTACGTATTATGTTTTCCCATTAATAAAGTCAAATTTATCTTCAAGTTTAATGAAGTATTTTGTAGGGAAGTACAAATTTAAATTTACCTATATTATATATGATGGTGAAATCATAGAAACCTCGTAATATCACCTGTTTCCTTTCTGAAGTCTGTAATTTGTATATCCTATTCAGAATGGAAAGTTTTAAAATATTCTATATTAACTATAATAAAAGGATTACAAGCAAATAAATCAGGACATTAAACTACTGTAAATTATGGGCACAATTTGTATATGTGTGCAGTGTTAAAAGATAGGTTATGTCTTTCCAAGAATTGTGTCCTCCAGTTGGGAATTACAGATTTATAGGATAATTAGAGGTTTCAGTGTGTTGCAGATATGACACTTTGAGTCTCTAAGGAAAAGAATGAATGCTGTCAACCGATTTACCAAGGTATATTAGAGAGAGAGAGAGAGAGAGAGAGAGAGCGAGAGCAGTAGTTTAGGGCCATACTGTTTGCTTAAGAGAATAAAGAGGAAGCAAGTATGGGATGGAGAAACTCATTTTGAAATACACAAAACAAATAGTTGGAAAATGATATCATTTTTAAATTGTGATAAATCTGATTTTATATATACATATTTTTTAAACTGTTTCTAGGATTGTTGCTTGATAGTGTATCATCCTTATAGACCTTTGCTCCAATATGTGCAGGACATGGGCCAAGAAGACATGTTGCTTCCACTTGCATGGTAATTAGAACAGAAGTTATTAATAGTGTAATGTGTTGCTAGACAGAAAGCTTGACCACTAAATGTGAAGTTCAGTATTTTTAAAGTGCCTCATGAATTATCTATTTGACAAATATACCTGTTAAAATTTTATTTTTTGTGAAAAGCAAACTTTATGTAAAAAGAATGAATTTATTTTCTTCTTACTATTTTTATTTTATGTGTACGAGTGTATTGTCTACATGTGTGTAAGTGCCCCCATGTTGTACAGTGCCCATGGGGATCTGAACAGGGTGTTGAGAACTGAACTTGAGTCCTCTGCAAGAGCAGCCAGTGCTCTTTAACTTCTGAACCATCTCTCTAGCCTGATGAACTTATTTTTAAAATAATACTTTTTGGTTTTATTCTATACAAATCCATTAAAAATTTAAAAAATATTTTATGTGTATGAGTGTGTTGCCTGCATGTTGTGCAATTCCCATGGAGACAGAAAAGGGTGTTGGATTCCCCTGGAACTGGAATTACAGACAGTTGTTAGTCGCCACGTGGGTGCCGGGACTTGAACCTGGGTCCTCTGCAGCCAGTGTTCTTAACCGCTGGGCCATCTCTCTAGCCCCTAAAATTTGTTTTTTTTAATCTTAGTTTTAATTTTTCAAAACTGTGGAAGAAATTTATGAATTTGTTATGGGGTTCCAAAGTTAAGAACATATTAACTGATACATGAATTTTGTATTCAATAATTTGTACTTAATTTGCTGTCACATTCATGCATCTGTCATTTTGCCTTGATGTGCTCAGTAATATAAAGGGGATATGAGTGTGAACAAAAATGGGAAATCTGACCCTCTCTGGAAGAAGTTACATAATCAGATGAAGTAATTCTCTTTTAGTAATGCTGTAATTTACATTTTTATAGGAGAATAGTGAATGATACCTACAGGACGGATCTTTGCCTACTGTACCCTCCTTTCATGATAGCTTTAGGTAGGTAAGCATGTGCGCCTTTATAATCTATGATTTAAGTCATCCCAAAATAATTTTCACCTTATTGTATTGACTTTCTGTCCCATGAAGTAAGTCTAATCATTTGCATGTGTGTTTTCAATAATATGAATTATAACTATTACAAATCAAGATTATTGGCTGGATGTGGTGGTGTAGGCCTTTAATCCCAGCGTTTGAGAGGCAGAGGCAGGGGGATATCTGTGAGTTCAAGGCCAGTTGGGGCTGCAGGGCGACTCTGTCTCAAAAAGAGCAAAAAATAAAAATAAAAAAAGAAAAGATTATTGTCCCCCTATATCCTTTCTTTATTTAAAATAATTTGAATCAGCATCTAAACAACAATTTTGTTTGGAGGAGGGAAAAGTTCAGGTTTAAGCCTACTGATACTAGTTGTTTAATAAAGTAACTGGGCCTGTTTTTTCATTCTAGAGTCAGTTAAATACTGGAGGAGGTTAGGTGAAGAGACATCAGTGCCTCTGACTGTGTAGGGGAGAAGTTAGCTAGCATCCCACTGTGTCGGGGAGGCGCTGCAGTGATGGATTGGCATAGGCTTTGGACTTAGATAGTCCTAGGACTTTGCTTTCTTTATAATTGTGGAAAATTAAGTTTTCTGAGCTTATCTCCTTAATTGTAAAATGGGAACGGGAATACTAAATAATTTCATAAATAGTTTCAAAAGTTAAGTGAAATGGCTCGAAGAGCACCAAGTTTTTACTATGTCATAAGAACTTAATCATTTCTGCTCTTTTTTCCCTCCTCTTACCGATTCCATGACTTCTTCCCTTGTAACTCCCCTTCCCATTTGTTAAAGCAGCCTAGACTTACTTATTGGTTTCTCTGTTT